GGAAGAAGCAAGCATATAGAAACAAAGTTCCACTATATCCATGAGCAGGTGAAAGATGAAAAGCTAGAGTTGTGCTGCTGCAGATCAGAAATGCAACTTGCTGACATTCTAACTAAAGCTCTCAAATTTAGGAGATTTAAAAGCCTCAAGAAGCCGATCGGGGTTGCTGGAACAATCTAGTTTTTGGCTTAGGGAGGTGTATTAGAATATGTTTAATGGTACAAGTGTTAAGCCAAAAATATGGTAAGAGATATTTCATTTTAACAACGGTCTGTTTTTCTATTTTTGGTGCTGTCATATTGTGCACACTGTTCAGAGTTTCTAATCCTTATAAATAAAGGATTATACTTTGTTTTACACAATTCAATAATGTATAGATATACATTCAGATTAAACATGTTACCTTTCTCCTCTCTTGTGCCCAGTCCTTTATACATAGTTTGACTTTATCTTATTATCCATTTTACTTGTATTTTACTATTTTTTTGTCGTGAAGATCGTATGCTTACTACTATTGTATATTACCTTTAACATGTACCAGTATGCCTAAGAAATAAACAAATCCAAACAGAGGAAAAAGAAGTGAAATAGTGGGAGATTTAGGATAATGGAATACATATTTTACTAAAACTTTACAACATGTTGGTCTGAGATAAACTGAACTTGTATCCTTGCAACAAAGTCTAGAATCTGAGCTTTGAAGATGAAAACAAAAAAGAATAACAATTTGATTAGGAGAGAAAACTCTGCTTCTTTCTCACATATACCCTTACCTGTTTTGAACCGTGCTTCACTTCATGGGCTAGAGGCTCAATGGGCCCACTTACTCTCTGGGCCCTATAAACCGGATAACCTTTTTTTATCTTTTTTGCAGGACTTTGAATATCTTTGCCCATGACACCTGTGCCAACAAAAACAAGAGATCAACAGAACTAAAAACGAAGCATTAAAAAAAATGTACAACAACAGGTATCGAAATTGTGTTTTAAATTGATTGTTCTAGACTGGTGAGTTGAAATGATTATCAGTGACAAATGCCACTTTAAACAGACTAAGGGTTTTCTATGCGAGAGAATAAGAATATGTTCTTGTTTTTTATTTTTCATTTTTAAAATTCATTTTTGGGTGCCACACCATAGAGAAAATGATGAGGACAATCAAAAGGATCCAGGGTTTAAAAGGAGGTTAAAGAGAGTGAAGATTCTGAATTTATCATTCCAAATACTCCCCCTACGTATGTTGAAAGCTGATCATGACCTTGTTGAGGAACATGAAGGAGGTATACATATATTGACTTTATCTTATTATCCTTTTTACTTGTATTTTACTATTTTTTTGTTGTGAAGATATATACTTCTCACATCAACCAGAGAAATAAGATCAATTAAAAATATATACGTGAGTGTAAATCTCAATTTATAAATTGGTTTTGTGAGGTTAAGTTAGGTTTAAAGTTCACCTCTTAATATAGTATCAGAATCATTATTAGAATCTATAGTTATTTATTGGATATATTATTTACTGTGATCATCCGTTAATGTCTAATCTTATATGTTTATATATCGACGTGAGGGGATGGGTTTTCTTAACAATTAAGTTTGACATTCATGTACCAGTATGCCTTAAGACAAAAGGATTACCCTGATATGGTGACAGCAGCTGCAAAACTAATGCACGAGTATTACCCTGGCAAGTTTTTTGCGGTCGCTAACTCAGTTGACGTTGGTTCTAGCAGTTCCTAAGTTTCTATAGTTGATAGATATGAACTAGTAAATTTACTAGAGAATTCAAATTCAATCTATCGGGCAATCCAAAGTCACAACAATTATATAAGCAGGAACATAAATAACATGCCAAACATTCAAGAATATTAACTGTTATTTAAATCAACCAAGAATGTGTTGAGATAAAAAGAATTATTTTGGCACTGAATAAAAGAAAGAGAAAAATATCTTAACAGGAAGAATATAAAATTAATCTTACCTAAATCTTCAAACACTAACAGAATAAGAAAAGAAAGAAATAAAAAAATCCTAATATAGGAAAAAGAAGTGAAATAGAGGAAGATTTATGATAAAGGAATAAATTTTCTATTCAAATTTTTGCAACATGTTGGTCTCAGTTACAGTGAACTTGTATCCTTGAAACAAAGTCTCTGAGCTTTGAAGATGAAAACAAAGAAGGACAAAAAAATTTGATTAGGAGAGAAAACTCTACTTAATATAAGTCAGATTTTCCAACAAATAACAGTCATCGAGCAAAGTCATTTTTCGTGCCAACGTCATAATCATTCAGAAAGATATAAAGTGTGACTACCATAGCTAGACATATCCAATAAGCTGATATTTTTAAACAAAGAACAAATCTAAATTTTCACATATAATATTGATTAGAGAACTTACTTCTCTTTACAGGGAGATTTTCTTTTTCAAATAAATCAGCAGAGGATGTAAATGTGGAAGTAGAAGCCTGAATATCAGAAGCTCGTTGTCTTTTGATCATTTCAACCCTTTGTAAATGTTCATTTTCTGCAATTTTTTGAGAAATAGTTTGCTCTCCACGCAATCCTTGTGATGTATACCTAGCATCATTATCATCATCACCTAGGTCCACGATCTCCTTTTCCAATTTAAATTTTACCCCTGCATGTACAAAGAATATGTGTTAAAACTAAACATTATTTTGTTAACATGATATACTTCAGGCAAAAGCTAGGGGAATAAAGAGTAGTAGATTTTGGAATACAAGTATAAAATTGGTTGTTGTGTCAGCATTTCTTGAAAAATACAGCCTTCAACTCTTCAAGTAATTAACAACGTTTACTATGATCCAATTCAGAGCAGATACGCGTAATCTTGATTGTATGGATAAACAAAATGAGTTACCTTCTTTGCATGCTTCTGTCTGATCTTTCTTTTGTTCTTATTGAAAAAAACAAATTATCAGGAAAAACGAAGAAAACACAAAAAAGAGATGATTAGCAGTTTTCTGAGGGAACAAAATACAATAGAACAAAAAGCGCAAGAAAACCTCAACGTTACAGTTTAAAATTATGACCCTCATATATAGATGACCAGGACTCTACAACAAATCAAGCCATGAGTTGAACATCTGAGAAAGACAACGGCAACAATGTTGTGTTTGACTTGAAGATAACAACGTAAAATTCAAAAGGCTGGAAACAGGGTTAATTTGGCGTTACAAAGCTGTCTGTGTTGGGGTCCAACCTCAACCTTGTGGTGAACTAATTTATGATATTGTTACTTCAACAACAAGATTGAATGATGTGAGGAGTGTATGTTCTTAAATTTTGTCTACTAATAGTTGCAAACTGTGATATTTTTTGAGTATTTTAACGTAATCTGGTTCAGTCTTCAATTAATCCAGTTTGAGCAAGAATTGCTTGCCTTACCACACCATTTCAATTAATTTA